CACCTTCCATTTTACCAGTCCTAAGCCTACTTCGCAATACATATCTATCGTAAAAAACTGAAAAATCGGGAATATCTTCAAAACCGTTGAAGATAGACACCATGATACCTGTATAAAACTGAAAGGAAATTAAATTTTACATCCAGTTATGCAAAAACTGGTATATTGTTCCATTTAAAAAAATTAAGTTATCCATGATTAAAAAGTTCGAAAATTACAGATCCCTACTTAAGAACTCCGTAATATAAATGCATAATTTTCTATTAGCAAACGTGTGCTCTTTTATTGTTAATCCAAAACAGAAAACCAAATCTTTCTAGCTTTCACAGTTTCGGCAATATTGCCAAATTTATAAGATGCTGCAAAGGTCATTTTTTTCGACAATCGTCATATAATTCAAAAACGATACCAGTTAGACCAAAGGTATCCTTAACAAAGTACCATTGAAATTTCACGAGGAATCCAAAAATGCAATAATATACAGGATGTTCCATTTAAAATAACAAAGTTGATATCCATTTCCGGTAGAAGCGGAAGTCCGCCATTACTGAAACTAATTTTAAAATATGTACAATATGATTCGATTCAACTTTTATTTGAAAAATTTTTTGAAAAACTCAATCATAATTCGGCTATGAACCGAGGCAACTTAGGTGGGACACCCTGTATATTTTAGACCATCGCTAAACATCGCTAACTGCTAATACACTAAAACTTTATATTAGCAGTCGTTAAAAATCACTACAAAAATAACCGAAATACGTGAAATCAGAGACATGTAAACTTTGATAATTTTTTTTTACTTAAATACGTCATATAAAAATAAAACTTATGTTGATTAATAAAATCTGACATTTCTACTATAGGATTCAATTGAAAAAAGAAATAAATTCCGACTTTCGAAAAACCCATTTATGATCAGCCAACGACTCAAATTGCCCATAGTGCGGCGCCTGCACAAACAAACCTTTCTGCTGGAATTCCTGTGGTTTTTATCAGTTCCTTCATTTTTCTTACGATTTTGTCTGTGGGGTCCTTCTTGATCTTCCTGTAGGTGGCTGGGTCCAGTAGGTTCATCATTTTGTCGTCGTATTCTTTCCTGTCCATAACAACGGTGGCATTCCCCTTGTCTGCTGGTAACACGACGATTTCTGACTTTTCTTTTATAGATCCGAGTGCTTTCTTTTCACCAACCGTCAAGTTCGATTTTGGTGGTTTGAAAGTTTCTAGTGTTAGTTCTAGTTTTAGTTTAATTCACACCGGCCGTGAAAGTCTTCGTACTTATAATATCAAGATTTTATAAGCATAAATGCTCGTTGTTAATTGAACTAACACTAGGTCTAGTGTTAGTTCTAATGATAGTGCAAGTGTTAATTCTAGTTTTAATTCAATAAAAAGAATCAAGTGTTATATTCGAACTTGTTTTTGAAGAATGTTGCAACATGGCATTCGAAAAATCATACATTTATGACCCACAGCTTAACCTGAAAGTTTTTAAGTCTAGTGTTAGTTCAAATATCAATATTTTGTTCTCATTTAAAATCTTTTTATAGATCTTCAATCTGTGTCAGTATCTGATTCACTTAATGTTAAAATTAAACCAAGTAAGTTTTGTGCTTATTTATAAATAATGTTGTACTAATTAATTTTTGATTTAGGTAAATCTGGCGATAATACTGATTATCCAGGTAAACGATTTTTATTGTTTTAACGATACGAAATATACTTAAAATATTTTAGGTAATCAAACTGACAAGCATCTATTAAAAGTAAAAGGAATTTCAAAGAAATACTTATGTTCCGGTTGGAAATTTTGGAAATGGCATTGGATTCGTCCAGTGACCAATTTAGAATTTAACGTCGCCAAAAACGAATGTTTCGGGTTATTAGGCGTAAACGGCGCGGGTAAAACGACAACATTCCGTATTTTAACGAACACAATCAAACCAAGTTGCGGAAGAATTCAGTACACTGGTAAACAATCTAGATTAATCATGGGATATTGTCCGCAAAAGAGCGCTCTTATCGAACGATTTACTGTGTATGAATTGCTTGAGACTTTTGCAAATTTAAGTAACGCTCCAGTTACTAAAAACGATTTAGAAGGATTACTAGCAGGATGTGGTTTATCGAACTACATAAATGTTCCATGCGGAACGCTAAGCGGTGGTAATAAACGCAAATTGAATATGGCTGTTGCTTTTGTGGCCAATCCTGAATTATTACTCTTGGATGAACCTACAACTGGCGTTGATTTGGTTGCGCGGAGAGAACTTTGGAGAATTATTGAAATGTTTAAAAAAAATTCTAGTGTAATTTTAACATCTCATAGTATGGAAGAGTGCGAGGCTCTTTGTGATAAGTACGAAATTACTTAATAAACAAAATTCTCTTTCATCACCACTCTACTCTCGTCCACTCTATGTCCATCTATTTCAAAAACATTAACAGTTTTAGATTAAATCAAAACTACAAAAGAGAATTTTATTTATTCGTTAACTTTGATAAAAATGGGTTAAAATTATTACTAAGAATTAATTTGATTCGTTTTTATTAGAATTGCGGTTATGAAAAGTGGAACAATTAAAGCAATGGGGAAAATATCCGATTTAAAAAAAGAATATTGTGTTGGTTATATAATTAAAATTGAGTTTCAAATTATGGATAAAGATGATATGGGGGCGCATCAAGATGAAGTATTTAAAGAACTTTACATTGAGTTCGGTTTAGGGGATGAAAGAAATGTTGTTGAAAAAGAAAGATGTTTTGTATGTACAAAAAAAATTATGAAATATATTTATTTATATCAATACATATTTTAGAATACATTGCAAGTTCAAGTGAAACATTCAACTTGGGAGGATATCTTTTTATTTATGGAAAGATTAAAAGGGCGGAATCATGATTTGGGTATATCAGATTATTTTGTTAAAGAAGTTTCTTTTGAAGATGTCTTTTTAACAATAGCTAATACAGCTGATTTAAGTGTGTAATGATTAAAAAATATTGTTTAATTTTAATTACAATGATATTCACTGGTTATAATTTGATTAAGTCTAATCAGTATTATACATTAGCTTTTACACGGAATAAAAATTAGTTTAAAAAAATGTTTTTTTTAACCAATATTCGATTTTTCCTTAAGTGAGAGTGAAATATTAAACTTCCGTCCTAGATAATTTTTAAATATTTAACTAGATAATTTTAATTACTTAACAAATATTGCAACCATTAGTAATCACTGAATATGTACTTAAGTTGTTATAACACAGAATCGGGTTGATTACGAATTACATCGCAAATCCACCAGACACTTTCCAACTTGGTTTATTATGTAGGTTGTCGCGACGTCATAACTTTAACACCAGATGATTCTTCTCCGCTCATTTTCATCATCTTGTACCTATAAATGTTTATGAAAATGATCATATTTGTATTTGGAATACTCGAAATATGTTTGAATGATTTTTTTGGTTATATAAAATTTGATTTTTACAAAAATGGAGTAATTAATTTATTGTTACTCTTCGAAAATGGATTGGAACTTTATTTCAGGCTCTTATTTATGTTTCTTTTGGAAGATATTTTTTTTAATACCACCTACTATTTCTTACTCACTTTCTACCTGAAACAAGAAATAAAGATGTGATTCATCGATTCTTGATTTTGCATGAATGTACTGCTTATAAGGATTTTTGAGTGGGACGATAGCAGAAAGTGGGTTGTTTGAGCGAAATAATTTTTTTAAATAATTATATTTATTTAACAACGACCAACTGATAAAGAAAACCGGAATTAACACGTAACACTTCTTAAATGTGATAAATACAACGATCGTTTATCAATAATTTACTATTATATAAATATATTTGAAGAAACAAGGAGTTCCTAATGATTAAATAAAGTTATCTTAAATAGTGAAAGAATCCCTGGCCTTAAACGACAAACAAATTCACTCAATAGATAAGAAACCTCATTTGGTTATTCGTATTAAATTTTATTTCGTCTCAACTCGTACTGTGTTGTTTAGTGGTTTGAGTCGAGGTGGGAATGTGTGTGTAGGTTGAAATGCCACCGCGGCCGATCGGTCCTCTTCAGTTAACGGCGGATCTCTCGCAGTGAACAAGCAGGGCATTCGGTGCCAAGAAAAAAAGATGACAGTAACCAAATCGACTACAAGTGCGAGTAGCACAACGAAGAAAAAACAGCAAAGTAGTAGTAGTGCGACCACATCGTCTTCGACTACAGTTCAAAGTTCTCGTAAAGAAGTTAAACAACATCACCAAGAGGCCTTATCCAAATCTTCGTCAGCATCCAGCCTTCAAATCTCCGATATTTCCCATTTACCCGTAAGTTCAAATGTTGTTTCTTATACAGTTACGGAATCTCTCCCTCACGGTGAAAAAATTACTAAATACGAAGAATCGGGTGCTACTAGTACTGAATATAGACATCACGTGAATCAAGATCAGTCTTCCAATTTTGCTAGTAATATTCAACAAATTAGTTCGACTCTAAATCAATCAACATCAAATTTATCGCAAATTTCTGCAGCTACGGATGAGACTTACATAGTTCATGAACCGAGAGAAGAACTAAAGGTGGTTAATAAAAATGATTCCGCTTGGAACGGCAAATTCGTTTATGAGCAAAGTTCTTCTGCATCCCAAAAGAAATCTTACAAAGAAAAAAGTTCTTCCAGTAGTTACGTCGTTGAAATAGTCGACGGAAAAGAAAGAATTGTAGATCGCAAACACCACGAAACCGAATTCGCCGATGCTTCTAGTAACGAAGAACATTTATCGATGAAATCGGGAACCGATATAGTCCCGGAAGTTCATTACAAACAAAAATCAACAAAGGAAAGTTTAGAATACGATTCCGCTAATCCAGATTTGCAAAAGCCGAAAATAAAATCATCCGAAGCAGGCAGAGAAGTTCATAAACACGGTCAAATCGAATCAACATCGCATTATTTAAACGAAGACGTAGATTTAAAGAGAATAGATCAAGGATTAGATGTGTCGTCAAAAAAGTCCTTATCTAAAACCGAAAAAGAAGAGAAGAAGATGTTATCAAAAACTGAAACTTCATCCAAAGCAACATCGTCAAAAACAATTTCAAAATCAACAACATCAAGTTCCACCCAAAACGAAGATATTCAAGCGGTTGGTGATGGATGTTCAGAAACCATCATAACAACCACAACCACTTATTATGATTCTAAAGGTAACATTTTAAAGACTGATACAGATGTTGATGTTACTAAAGCAGACACCATTGAAAAATTACCGATAAGAACCACACCGGGGACCACCACTATTTTAACAACAACCATTTATTACGATTCAAAAGGTAATATTATAAAAGAAGAAAATGATTTTGATACCAAAATACTTGATAGTCAAAAATTAAGAGATACTGAAAATTATACCGTTCGAAGCAGATCTGATAATAATCAAGATGTTTCTGAGAGTACAACAAAATATGTTGATAAAAGATATGTTGATGAAAGATATGTTGATGAAAAAAATGTAGTTTCTTCATCAAATATTTCAAAACAAACATTGGAAGAATCTCAACGAATTAAATCTGATGATTATGATTTAAAAACTAAAGATTTCTCACAAACTAAAAAATACGTAAGTGGAGTCCCAACAGATTATTCAAAAAACATCGATGATAAAACCGATTTAAGAAGATTAGAAACTGTTGAAGGAGTTCAAGATTCAACAAACGTAAGATATGTTGATGAAAATTATGTTGATACATCAAAAATTAGAAATCAACAAACAGCAACTGATTCGAAAAATTTTTACGGACATTCTTACGATTCTTCTGGAACTGTTGTTAAGAACGTTTACGATACAACAGCTGTACAAAATACGATTGGTACTCGAGGAAAAGTTATTAAGACCGACACCCAAGAAACCGATGTAATTTATTCGAATGATCGTAATTATGGAAAAACGGGATGGAACGGTAAATTTATTTATGAAACGCCACAAAAAAGAAGCCCATCGAAATCACCCGATCGAAAAACTCCAATGAGAAAACCCGAAAAATCACCCGAGAGAAAATCGCCGGACAGAAAAGGACGCAAGAAAACACCAGAAGATGTATCAACAAAATTAATCGATCAAGAATCAGGAATTTCAAAAAATATTGATGTAAAAACTTCATCTGATACAAAGACGTTTATTGATAAAGAAAAGGTAACGAGTAAAATTGTTGATGATAAAGAATTAATTGATTACGTTATTATCGATGATACAAAAACTAAATCAAAAGATTCAAAAACAAACATTGAAAAATCAAAAACGGATGTTTCAAAAACCGTCGATTCCATTGATGATAAAGTAATAACCGAATATGTTATCATTGGAGGTGTAAGACGTCCACGCACTCGAAAATTACGACCAGATGAAATATCAACGATGAAAATCGACGAAAAATATCAAACAACGAAACAATCTTTCACCGATTCGAAAACGATCATCGATAACCAAGATATCACTGAATATGTTGTTATTGATGGAAAACGCCTTAAAAGACCAGATGATATACAACACCCTAGAGGACCAGGATTAGATGAAATCGATCGCTTTCACGATACAAAAACAATCACCGAATCTTTTGAAACTGTAACAAATTTAAAAGATTCAAAAACCACCGTAATTAAAGACGATCAAAAATTCGAAGATGTAAAAAAAACTGTTGAACATTACACGACTACCGATAAATATGATTCGACGAAAGATGGACCAAAGAAAATTGATGATAAACCAAGAAAAGATTTGGGACCTAAAACTAAAACGATCGTTACTGATAAAGAAATTTTCAGCGATATTAAAGATTTTGTCAGTAAGGTCGACAGGAAGGACGTACACGTGGTGGAAAATATTGTCGATATAAAGGACATTGTGAGTATTTTTCGCTTATCGATTTAACAATATCGTTCTAATTTTCGCTATTTTCCAAATTTTCTAAAGGAACACGTCGAGAATGTTACGAAAATCGATCGGTTTACCGATAACAAGGTCATCAACATCGTGAAGACGGTCAAGGAGGAAACGAAACCCGACAAACATTATCGTCCACCTTTAAAAGAACAATGTATTTGTGAATTATGCACTTGCGGGTGAGTTTTTTTTTCGTTCACAACTGAATACCGTAAAATTTACATTGTTCATCAAACCGTATCGAGACATCACGAGTTTGTTTCCTCTCACCCAACCGTGAACCATTTTTTAAAAGCTTGAAGAAATTTATTTGATATCATAGACTTAAAATAATTTTAGAAGTGATTGAATCGTTTCGATTTATTCCTAATTTGGTTATTTTCCTCAAAAGTTATTTAAAGCCGATTGCATCACGGCGTTGGCAATTTTCTAATCACCACAAATATGCCACACGCGTGCATGTACACGGTTACACACTCACACAAAGAGACTTGACCACGTATGTATTTTATGAAGGCGAATCGTGTGGTCGTCGTTTTCATGATGAAAGGGAAGGTCAGAAAGATTAAGTATTGTCAATTCTAAGTGTTACGTCGAGAATGGAGGTACTAACAGAATCAGTTTTAATTGTTGCCGAGTTGAACGCTTGGTTTTATAAAAAAAAAATTGTAACCGGTACATTATTTAATTAGATGGGAGTGGAAATTACATGTTGGAAAATTGCTAATTCATGTGTATAAAAATTATAAAGTCAATATTATTCCATTTTATTATAACTTATCAGAAAACAAGTAAAATTTCTACATTATAAGCAATCTATGTCGTAAATAAATGCAATAATTGTTGACGTGGTTTGTTTGTGGTAACACCACAATGACTTTAATGAGTGGGAGTTAACATTCTGAAAATTTCATTTTTCCTTTTATGGAATGCGGTGATATCATATTTTTTTAAGTTATTTTTAAAATATTATCATCAAGGTTCTAAGAAATGTGTTAAAGAACTAAAACATATTTTACATTCTAAAACAAATACTGGCTGTTACTAAAAATAATGTTTATTTTAAAAATCTGAGTTCTAAGGAATGCATTTAAAAATTCAGTAAGGGCTATAATTTATGGAAAAACGCTTGATTGAAAATAATCCATTTTTTATTTTTGGAATAATTGTGTTGTAATAACTTAGATATTTTATATAATACTCTGTTATTATTCTTATTAAACAACCTCAAAACTATACTAAGGGTATTAACCACCCAATTCAAAATTTGTATTGAATTGAACAGAGAAGATTTCTCATTTTGACTCGTAAACTTTGCTTCAACCTCAATTATGACTCATTACTCCAAGGTATACCGGGAATTTCATATAACTCGCAATATATGAATGCTGTATCCATAATTGCGAAACTACTATGCATTTGCACTGTTCCACATAAAATGCAACATAGGTCAACCCTGAGTTTTTGACCGTCTTAACCGCACTATCACTAATTTAAAAATTCCTAGAAGCCGTATTTCTTGAAATTAAGGAATGAGACTTATTCTAAATGAAAGTTCAAAGCTTTCTCTTTAAAATGATGTATAATAATTGTTGGGTTGGATTGGAAAAATATAGAGAAAAAAAATGTTGAAATAAAACTTACATTTTCGTATAACCTAAGAGTGTNAGAAAATATGCTGATTATGTGCCATGTACTGCTCATTCCCTAAATCTTGTTGATAAGGAAGCAGTTAAGACTTGAGCAACTCAAATCATTAATTTTTTTGGAAGTGTAAGTTGACAGAGGCAAAAAATAAGCATAGTCACAATTTTAAGATCTGAAAAATATTCTAAATGAATATATAGTATAAATTAGTATTAATTCCGGTATGGTATGTATTTAGTTGGTGATCAATAATGAATTCGATTCCTGTTCGCATTATACAAGTATGTAAGTCGTTGTATGGTTAACGCAAGACGCGGAGACGCTTTCTCCGAGGGTATTATTCACGACCAGAGCACGCTCCGGGACACATAATATATTAAAGCAATATAGAAATTAAAGGAGCGTACGTGAGGAAAGTCGGGATGCGTGCCCGCGCATGTCCCCCAACCAGCCGTTGGTTGTGTTGATATTGGTAACCCTGCTGCGAGAAAGTTCTAGAAAGATTACTACATCTTGAACGAAACTGGACTCATTATTTTCCGTTTTTAGTGGTACTAGAAAAGTATTTACTTGATTTATTTAGTATTAAGAAAGGGATAGAAAATATTGAGTTTGTCAAGTTCCAAATATGTTCATAGGATTGAATAATGAGACTAAGAGTTTTGCTGTCAACTGTCGAGTAAAGTGCAGAACAAACGCGACTTGCGTCACCCAAGAGCTCTAACGGCGCGCGCGTTTAGCAATTTTCCGATTTTTTTCGACATTTGAACGTCTTATTGGGGTCACGAGATCTTGCAAAATTTCCTCCTCCTTCTTCTCCCAATCTCGGGACGTTAACAAACTTGCCGTGTTGCTGTTTAACCGTTTTATCGCTGCATTGGATCGTGCGCCGTTACTAATTTGCGATTAATTAACCCACCTTGGTAATCGATTGATTATTTATTATATTACGAAAAGAAAATTTTGTATCGATACAATTTTTGTTTGGCGAATGCGTCACACCAGCCAGCTGCTTGGACGAGTGACGAGCAGATGATGATGATGATTTAGGGGTGGTCTCCCTCCGAATCCCAAAAACCTCGTCCTCGTTGTCCTGTACCCCAAAAATACGACGACGATCCGCTCACTTATCAACATGTTAATTCCACCCCGGACCAAAGAAACTTCTCACTTCCTTTTCCATCTCACAAAATATAACCCATCAAGAGTAAGAGAGACGAAATATGAAAAGGGAGAGGCTATAATCTTTGTGACGCAATGTATTTTCCATTCGGGCGAAGAGGCATGATTCCATTTACCCTCAGCAAGAGATGGCAACCCCTAAATTTACGCTAAGTGTTTGTGGATGAATTACGGGTATTGATTTTAGGATTGTGTTGGGGTTAAACTGTTAAAAGACAGGCTTCGATTAATTTGATTTTAACGTTTATAAAATTTTCATTTTTACTTAATTAATTCGTTAAGATCGACTATTTGGAATCTAGGCCACTATTTACTTAATTAAATTACTCGCATCGATTCCTCCCCTTTTTATACGAAGAACGGCCGGTGGTATGAGGAACTTTATTAGAGTTCATTTGATGGTGGCAGGTCGACATTAACACGCAACGGACATCGAGGACAATATTAANCTCTTTAAAATGATGTATAATAATTGTTGGGTTGGATTGGAAAAATATTGATAAAACTCATGGCAAAATATAGAGAATAAAACCTAGAACTAGAATCATTTGGGTTTAGCCGGACGTCTCTAAAGACGGCTAAACCCGAATGATTCTAGTTCTAGGTATAGTATTAGTTATAGTTTTACACTTGCACAGTCACTAGAATCGAATGATTCTAATTCTTGATCTAGCGCTGTATAATAATTAAAACTAGCTGCTTCAGACAGCCAGTCAGAGAGTTAAATCTGTCAAAGATAGTTGTTTACATTTTTGGCCATAACACCATTGTATATAAATCGAGGTGATATATAAACTGCTACAACTACTCTTCTCCAAGTCTAAATGACCATTCGCTTTTGGGCCCCCTAAATGTGCCTCTACTACTAGCTCTTATTGTTGTGTAGACGATTATTATCCATGTTAACCGACCTTATCTGAAGCTTTTCAGCCGTTATCAAAATATATCTTCAATTTCGTTTCCCAGTACGCTGGAGGATCTACCTCACCAAATGCTTTTGAGGCACTTTCACCCACTCTGTCTTATATTTAATGGCTTCCAAGACTCTTTGAACAGCTGCTCTGTGTTTAAACTGGTTTTATTACTTCTTTCATTAGTAAGTAAACCATGGGATTACAGGAACTGTATGCTTTTTATGACATACAGCTTGCTGATTGCTTGGATTATAAAAAGTTTCTTGATTTAATTAACATCTCTCCTTCACTTTGTAAATATCCATAAAAAATACTTCAATATTCTTGTCACTTAGATCCTTTCTTCGTCAATTCTCTTCACGTAATTCGCAAGCAATCAATAAATACATCATGTAAACTCTTTAATTCAAACTAATTACCATATTTCAACGAAATACTTTTAATAAATATAAATAGGTCATTGGGTTTATCGCCATAAAATTTTCATTAACAAAACAAAGAAAAAAAACTAAAATAATTCTCGTACTCTTAAATTCGATAACCATAAGAAGGTAGGACTGAAAATGACATCATCGCCGTATTTAAACGTCCAAGCCTTCGGTTACAAAACCTGTTTGCCAAGAAACGCATTTCTCCTAAAGACTCCAATAGTGGTATTTCGAATTTGGTTCTGCACGTGACGTCACGTTTAATTATTCGGCGAATATGCTCGAATGCATCACGGACAATCGTCTCTTTTTTAGGTTAATCTCGAATGAAAATTGTATTGTAAAGGATAAGGAGATTAAAGTTTTATGTAAGGATTAAAGGTTAAATAGGCCATGGATCATCGCCAAATATGTTCACTTTCTTCGCGTGGTTCTCCGAGACACAAGTCTGAGGTCACGTCCTCACGCGAATAAGGCTTGGACGCCCTCGAAATGTACCGTTTCGAACTCAATTCGGTGAGACGAGGTCTTTTGCGTTGGCGGAAATGATTGTGTATAGGTGGATGGTGGGATTAAAAGTAATCAATTCTTAAGAAGTTAAAAGATATAATAGGATGTTGGTAGGTTTTATTTCATTTATTCTAGTTATTCGAAAGACCATTTTTAAATTATTCATGATAAATCTGAATTAGTTATAAATATCGATTCATATTTCAATACTAATGGATTTTAGAATTGCTTACCTTTTTCTTCTTTGCAATAAAATGCGTGCTTTGAAATTTAAGTAAATGTGGTAACTTTACGTAATAGACAAACAATGGAATAAAAACTCAGTATGAAATGTTAATGTATAATAAACTATTTTTAGGCATTATTTTTATGTACGTGAGGTATAGAAATTATCTTTTATCGTCCTTCATTCTAGTATTATGTAAACATTTCAACACGAACCGGAAATTAACCGACAGTTTACTAATTTGCTAACGTTCTACTTTTCGCAAAATGATTTCTCGGTAAAGATTTGAACAATAATAAGAACAGTCAACTGAAGAAGATGATGTCACGCGGTTTCCGCAATTCTTTTTAGAATCATTAATAACAATTTATTCTTAACAATGACTTAATTTTTTTTGTGGTGGCGGCTAAATTTTTATCTTCGTGCGTATTTCTCACCATCACCAATTCTCGGCGTTCTCTTTTCTTCTTATTCTTCGTCGACCTAAATACATCTCAAGTATACTTACCATGTACGGCTCGTCACATACGTTTCTCTGAAAATGATTTAATGGGACAAGGATTTCTTGTATAAAAACACTTCTGTTTTTGGGTGTTATCGTTTACTTAATTCTGACGTGAAAGGTTTCAAAAAAAGTTTACCCGTGTGAAGTTACCCATAAATTCTATCCATAAAAAAAACTTTTTTGTTTGTGTATCGATTTTAATGATTAATAGCTCATTAGAAAGATCTCGTAGAGTAGGACCTAACATAGTTTTGGCGGCTCAGATTTTGGGCGGGAACACCTTAAATTCCGCGAAAAACAGTAAAATATATAAGAAAATTCTCTAACTTTAGAGTCCCAAAAATTGAAAACTAATTAACATAATATCAGGTATAATTACCAAATCAGAATGCATATACTGTTTTCTACACAACAGTGAATTTTGGTCGTCGCTAA